TTGTAATTCATCGGAATAATAATTTTAGACATAACAAAGGATATATATTCTTGTTTAGAGTAAAATTCTAAGACCATTTAGCCCTGTTCGTCCGACCGTCTGTCAAATCATGCTAGACTCAAAACGAATAAAGATAGGAAACTAAAATTTTGCACAGATCAGTCTTTTGTCTGTAGGTAGGTCAAGTTCGAAGGTAGGCTATATAGATATCCTATAGCACCCATATAACGGTACCCTCCGATATTCGGTATTTTAATGATTGTAGCAACATATTTCAACGGAATTGTCTGAAATTCGACACAAGGTGTTCTTTGTGAGTACTTTACCCCCTGAAAGAGAATTGTCTGTATAGGTTCATGATATCGTATAGCCCCCATTTAACGGTACCCCCCGATATTCGGTATTTTTGTGATTTCAGACAAAATTTTCAATGGAATTGTATTAAAATCCACTCAAGGGGTCCTTTTGTGTACTTCACCCCCTAGAAGCGAATTGTTTAAATATGTCCTCGCTTTAGTACAGCCTCATAAAACGGTATCACAGATATTCGGTGTTTGATTTTTGTTACATTATTCACCGGAATGGTTTCAAATTTCGTATATAAAGTTCGGAACAGTTACTACAGCCTATGAAGATTTAGATTTGTTTAAAAATTCACATTTTTTCAATTTTTTAACAAAATTTTATACACTATTCTCAGCACGTAACAATAACACTTAATCCAATTCAAGTTTTTTTCCGAAAAGGATAAGCGAAAAATTATTACTTTTTGCACCAACATCTTCAGAAGAGCCCTTGTACAATCGTTCAACATCCAATTATTCCGGACCAAAACTATTTCAACGTCTTTTCACTGTTTTTCTATGAACTAACAGTGACCTCAAATCAAATTTCAGGATTCAAGTTCTACGGTAAATATAGTACTAGTTAGTACTTTGTATACATGCAAATACAAATAAATAAATAAATTAAAGTACACATTCTCAAAACTATATACCAACAGTCGTCTCCAAATCAAATTTCAGAATTCCAGCTCTATCCTAAGACCTAATCCCGAATTTATTACCACACTTATCGATCACTTATACTATGCATGCCCAAACCTCATCTAAGACACCAACAGAGACCTCGATATCTTTACCCCAACATCAAAAGGCACATATTTGTGGCATTTTGTACTTTTCGTCCGTAAATAGTACGAATTTCCAAAACCACCTCTTTTTCTTAACCACAGTGCCATCAAATTTCTGGATTCTAGCCTATACCTTTACACAAATTTAGTACCGTTTAGTATTTTTCGTACAATTATGGTACACTTTTGCAAAACCAGCTCAGTATCTCAATTCCACATACCAATAGAGACGTCAATATCAAATTTCTGGATTTCAGTCCTATCCCTTCATCCAATACTAAATTTAGTATTTTTCTTACAAATATAGCACATATTTTCAAAATCAGCTCCACGTCTCAATTCCAGATATGAACAAATAAAATTCGAGAATTCCAGCATCATCCGTTTCACCCAATACCAACTTTAGTACTTTTCGAACAGATATGGTACACATTTCCGAAACCACTTCTATATTTCAACCACAGATACCAAAGTGACATCTATATCACATTTCAGAATTCCAGTTTAATTTTTTCACCCAATATAAAATGTAGTACAATTATAATACACCCTGCCAAAACCCGCCCTGAATCACGCATTTCCAAAAAATTGCCAAATCTCAATTCCACATACCAACATAGACCCCAATATCAAATTTGAGGATTCCAGCCCTATCGCTTCACCCAATACCAAATTTTATACCATTTAGTACTTTTCGTACAAATATAGGACACATTTCCAAAACCATTTCTATGTCTTAATTCCAGATACCAACAGAGACTCCAATATCAAATTTGGGGATTCCAGCCCTATCGCTTCACCCAATACCAAATTTCGAACCATTTAAATATTTTTGTACAAAAACACAGATACCATCAGCAGAGTCTAAATATTAAATTTCAGAATTTTATCTCATCCATTTAGCACTTTTTGTACAATTATTATCAAATTTCAATTAATATCAAATTTCAGATTTGTAACAAATACTCTGCTATTTTGTACTTTTAGTGCACTTGTAGTATCCATTTCCAAAACCACCTCTTTATCACATTCCAACCAACTGTAAACCAAACTGTTCCAAAATGTTACTACATCCATTTTGTACAGTTCGCACACTTAATACACATTTTCATACATCAAACTTACATTCCAACCTTGATTCTCATACCAAATTTTAAGTTTTTAGCTCTATCCGTTGAAATAACACCAAATGGCAAAATTGTAGAAGTTTAGTACCATTTAATAACTTTTCGTAACTTTTAACTTCGCATCTATCCTGCACACCATCAGTGACTTTCATTCGAAATTTCAGAATTCTAACTCATTCTGTTTGTCAAATACAGAGTACATTTTAGCACTTTTCGCACTTTTTTAGTACGAATTTCCCAAAAAAAAGTTTTCCAAACAAGACTTCATAGATCATACTAACTTTCCAGTCCGATAGTATATTTTAGTACTTTTCGTACCCTTTTAGTACGAATTTCAAAAAAACCACGCCTATGCACCAAAACTGGCTCTTGTGCAAAATTTCAAGATTCCAGATTCATCCGTTTCGTCTGGGCCTTGATCCTAGATCATATATATTTAGATAGTGAAAAAGCGACTATGTGAATGGGAAACGTTTTTGTTATTCGAAATTTAGACCCATTGTGGGGGAGGTACCAGAAGAAATGGTCCGATCTCTACCATATTCATAACAGATCTTGCGTTGATAGAAATATTGAGACTTACCTGAATTGAATCGGATGTTAATTTCGTGTTTTATAAGCTTCATGGATATTAAAAATGTTGACCCTTTGTGGTGGAGGTACCAGTAGGAGTGGACTGATATATACCCTCTTCACACCAGACCTTGGATTAATAAAAATATTCCGATATATGTAATTCGAAGACAATCGGACTCTTATTTCACATTTTATAAGAGTTACAATTATTAAAATGTTGACCCATTGTTGGGGAAGTACTTGATGGAGTGTACCGATATTGCACATTTTCACACCTAACCTAGCACTGATGCAAATATTAAAATATGCAATGTTGTTGCAAAATCGGATTATTTTTTCTCATTCTGTACATTTTCTTAGAAAATGTTGACATTTTGTGTGGGAGGTTAAAGAAGGAGAGGATTGAACTCGATCTAACTTTGACCATAATATTACGATGTACCAAGTTTGGATGAAATCGGATACTCTCTTCGAGATTTATCTTGCGCACCAGCCAGACAGCCTGATGGACGGACGGACATCACCAGACTCCAAATGTCCTCAAACGGATTTGGCCCAAACAGATCTAGGGTCTAAAACCATTATTTCGAGAGGGAACGTTTTGGCCGTATCAAATGATATATACCCTCTCTAGCCATATGGCTGAGGGTATAAAAATAGCATTTTTGTTTTCCCTTGAATGATGGCTTTTTTGGACAGCGACTCCAGTGGATGCTCGTGTACGCGACTAATTACAATCAGCATATAAGTCAATGAGATCCTTGTAACCGTGATTTATATTTTTTGCCCAATTAAATTTATTTTTTAAAAAATAGTAATAGGGTCGCCATATCTCCTATGTTCTCTTCAATTTTCGGGCGAGTATGGGAAATGTGTTAATTTTTTTGCCTGATCAAATAAATACCATCTCTAAACATAAGGCTGAGGCTATAAACACAACACTTTGATTTGTAGGGTATCAAATGGTCGACATTTTCTAATTTGTTGAAACGATTACGATGACAGATAACGGTATCAACGACTCTCATGCTGACAAATGTTTAAGATGTTAAAGACGTCGAACAATGATGATGTCGACGACGACGACGGACATCACCAACAACAACAACAATTAAGAAGAAGAAGAAGAAGAAGAAGAAGAATGGGACCAACAAAAACACAATTTAGCCTAGAAAGGCATGGGGATAACAGCTAACGGTGATATACTAAATGTTTGTGAGATAATGTGTGTCGTACACACTTACATAAGTGCCTTTGCGTCTCGCTCGCTCTCTCTCTATTTTTGACGAGTGTGACATATGTGTGCATGCCTCTATGCAAGTGTGTATTTTTAGATGAATGAATGTAAAACAAATTGTGTTTTAAAAGTAAGGATAAAGGATGTGAGTGGCAGGGTGTGTGTGTTTGCTCGCATTTTTAAGAGGCTCTTTCATGTGCAAATGTATGTCGTCTGTTTATTTGACGACTTTTGTCTGACAGTCGGTCTGTTGTCCTCTTTATTGTAGCAATGATGAAATGCAGCAGTGGCAATAATGTACCAAAGAGGATACCCAAAGAGCAGCAGCAGCAGTAGAAGAAGAAGAAACAGCAAAAGAACTTAACTGTGTACTACTTTGTATAAGTATGTGTGTGTGTCTGTCTGTCTGTCTGTATATTTGCTTAAATGTGAGTGTTTATATTTTCTGAGCAAACCACCGCCACTCGTTCTTTGGTCGTTCTGTTTATTGGCTCTCATTTGGTTTGTGGTGGCAGTCGGGCCGCCACGACATGCGGTCAAATCCAACAAAAAAGGAATTCCTAAAGAGGATAAAACCAACAACAACAACGGCAACATTATCCAGAGTAACAACTGAAGTTCGTGAATATTTTGCCTCGCCTTCTTTTATTTGTGTGTTTTGTTATTGTTGTTACTGTTGTTGTAATACTAGTCAGTTGATTTGTTGTTTTCGCTTTATTTCGGGATCATTGACACTTATCTTGGCAGTGTTAGAGTCAAGAGGCCAATATTTTCTCAAAAAAAAAAAAAAAAAAAAAAAAAAAAAAAAAAAAAGAACTCAAATTTATTTGCCATTAAAAGATTAATTCTCCTCAAAAAAAAAAAAAAAAAGCCGAACCACACATTAGTAAATAATCGATTGATTGCCTATTTCTTTTTCTTTTTATAGCTTTTGGACACAGTATTGGTTTGCGGCAAACAGAAGTGAATGAACACTCCATACGTTCTGGTTTATCTTAAGAGAGGCTCAGCGCACAGCCAAGACACCACACCAGCAGCCATAAGACCGGAAGAAGCACCACCGCCCTCCACAGCACCAGTCACTGCCATTAGAAGTTCTGAACCACCACCACCCCTCAGCACCTGTCACTGCCACTAGACGATCACACACGAACTCACACACACACACACACACAGAAGCAAAATCTCACACAATGGGTGACTATCATGAGTATACGGATCAATATAAGGTGCCGGTTATTGCCAAACTGCTGCATGCCCTGCCCCACTACAACATAACATTCCATAAAATTAACAGCACATTTCGGCCAAATGATGAAATCTACTTGGAGGTGAGTTTTTTATACCCTACCCTACCCCTCATAGTGGCAAGAGTATTATGTCTTTGTGTATTTGTTTGTAACATGGAGAAGGAAGCGAGATAGACCCATAGTTACTTTTGAGGATCTTCATAGAATCATTTTTTAATCGATTTATGCATGTCAGTCCGTCCGTGCGTCCCTCTGTCTATCGATAAATAAAATGCAGGTCGCATTTATTATCCGAAAAAGATGAAATTTTCCAAATAATATTTCTTTGGCCCAAGGACGAACCCTATTGAAATTGGTGATAATCGGATCAGATTTAGATATAGCTTCCATATACCTCCAACCGATTTCGGGTTAATTGTGCACCAAATGGCCAGTAAAGGTTCAAAAGACCTACATTTTGGTTCATCTCGCCGAATTCAGTCTAGAAGCACATCAAATTTGGAGAAAATCTGTTCAGATATAGCTATAACTCCCATATATATGTTTCATCCGATTTGGGGTTTAAAGTCCCTCACAAGTGTAATATGCATTCCACAGAGATGATCTTTGGTACAAGATACAGTCCAGAAATAGTTCTGCCAAATTTCATAAAGATCGGTTCAGATTTGGATATAGCTCCCATATATATCTTCGGCCGATTTCGGGTCAATTGAGCACCAAATGGCCAATATCAGAACTAATGACCTGAATTTTTGTCACATCCGATTGAATACGGACTAGAAGCAAGTACACCGAATTCGAAGAATGTATCTTATAGAGCTCGAAAATACCTTTGCCATGAGAAAACTTAAATTCAGGCCGGCTGAATGGTGGTTTTAATAGGAAATCTTCAATTCAGGCCGGCTGAAGAGGGCTTTCCGTAAAGAGACTTCCTAAACAGAAAACTTCAATTTAGCCTTGGTAAATGAGGCTCTCGATGAAAACTTCTATAAGAAGGCTTCAAGTCAGCCCGGCTAGATGGGGTTTCCTGTACGGTAACTTCAATCCAGTCCAATCCAGGGAATTCTTGGGAAAACTTCTAGGGACCTATGTGTTTCTCTGAAGAAAAATTAATAATTTTTATATTTCCAGAGCCTGGGAATTTTGGGCTCTGTGCCAGCTGCCCTGCTCATCGTTTCACTGTTGGGTCTCCTGCTGTATTTAATGACAAGATGTTGCGATCGCAAACCCAGACCTGCCCATTCGATTACCAGTCTCAAGGTGGCACTCTCCATTGTGACGGTTATGTGTTGTGCTGCCATTGGATTGGGTAAGTGATGTTTCAGCCATCTCTTGAAGAGTTACTTACGAACTTCTCTCTCTCTATCCCTCTCTCTCAGGTTTATATGGAAATGATGATTTACACAATGGTTTATTGGAAGTTTTAACTGCTGGACGTAAGGTGGACACATTGGTCACAACGGTACGAAATCAAACATTGATTTTGGAAAATACTTTGAAAAATCGCATCCGACCTCAGCTGGTGGAGCTGGCCGATATTTTCGATCAACCGGTGACAAATTCTACAGCTCTCTCTATACTCTTTGTATCGTTGAATATTGTGCAAGGTAATGTCACACTGGCAACCAATGCGGCCAGTGATATACGGAGGCCATTGACAAGTGTTACAATGACGAAATTTCTTTCGGTAAGTAGGAAGTAGGGAAGAAGATATGAACAGAAATTTATATTTCTTGCTCTTTTAGGAGGGTGATAAAATGGAATTGATACGATGGCCCGGAACAGTGGCCACCCTGGCTTTGCTTTTGGTCTTGTGTGCCGTGCTATTGGTGGGAGTGGCCCGCCACTCCCGCTGTGCTTTGATTTTGTTCAGTGTCTGCGGTCTATTGGCTGTCACCGGCTCCTGGCTAATGTCTGGCCTGTATTTGTCTTCATCGGTGGCTGTGGGTGATCTTTGCATTAGCCCAGCGGACTTTTTGGTCTCAGTGGCACCCCGTGATCTTCCCACCAATGTTTTGCTGCACTATACCCAATGTGAACCCGGACACACCAATCCCTTTACCCAACGTCTCAGGGAATCACAAAATTCCCTAAACAATGCTCGCAGTGCCATGGCCACGGTAATGAAAATCTCATTGGTGTTATTCAAATCCTCGGGATTACAGCCGAAATTGGGAGCAGTTAATGCCGATTTGAATAGCAGCGAACGTCTGCTGACCCAACTGACTGCCTTGGTGGATTGTAAAACTGTGCATCACAACTTCCTGGCCGCCTCAAGGGGTCTGTGCGAGGGTGGCCTCCTCGGACTTGTCCTAATGCTCATTGCCAGCTTTATTGCTGCCATTTTGCTCACCATCATGGTTTGGGTCGATTCACACACATGGATCTATATAAGGAAACGCAATGACTATGCTCAAGTGGATGAACCATCGTATATTTCCCACCCTGCCCCGCAGAATCATCAACAAATGTTGAATGCTTCCCGTACCCTGCCCAGGAACCACAATGGGTGAGCGCAATAAATGAGAGTGATTTTATTTAAATTCTGGTTGCAATCTCTTTACAGGCACTTTAGTCCACCGGTGATCAGTGGCTCGCACACCCTGCAGCACCCATCGAAGCGTCAGCAGCACGAGATGATGGCTCACGTGCACATGCAGCAGAATATGAGGGCTATGGGCACGCATACGCTGGGTCGTTTGCCGTCGCACAATCATAGCCCCACACACCTGACTGGTAAGTTGGAATGGCCTCTCTGTCTCTAACTCTCCTGTATCTCTCTCTGCACTTCTCCTTGGCTATAGTCTTCCGTCTGTGTGTTTGGCGAGCAATTTGCTTATTTTCCTCTCTTTTCTTTCGTTTTTCTTTTAGGCCCAAATAACGGTAAATATGCAACTTTAAGCAAACAATGCAAAACTTTGGAAGCAAATGATTTTTACTGAAAATCATCATCAGTCTGTAGCGATCCCAACCGAAGTCAACAGGCGACGTTTCAGCAGCAGCAACAATCCCAGATGGCTCCCCAACCAATCTATTGTCACCATCCTCATCCACATCCTCACTCACACGAAGCTGCCGCAGCCGTGGCCGCTGCCCAGCATCAGCACGCCATCTATCATCAACAACAGCAGCAACAGTATGGCACCTATTCCACAGCGGCTCATGGACAACATCATTTGGTGGCGGCCGGACCACATGGACAGCAGAGTCAAATATATCAACAGATACCACCGCATATGGGTCAAATGTCTCAGAATGGCGGCCAGGCAAATCCTCATTCCATTTACCAGCCATTAGTTGCTGTTAGCCAGGGTTCCATCTATGTCTCAAATTTGGCCACAATGCGTCGTCAGAATTCGCAACAAAGTAATGCCGGCCATCCTCAGATCCCCGGGCATCATGGCATGTCACAGCAACAGGGTGGCGGGCGAATGCCACCAACATCACATCATCAGTCGATCAGTGTGAAATCGCCACAAGATGGCATGCGTGATCCCTCGCGATCCGAGGCAATGGATACGGCTATATATGATCGTGAGAAGGGCATATATAAGTGTTCAACTCTGAGACAGGGTGGTAAATTTGATCCCAAATATAAGCCATCGATTTTGAATTGTCCACTGCCAGAAATACCCAAAGATGCAGATCCACCCAGTGTGGAGTCGATATACGAAAAGCAACGACAACAACAGCAGCAGAACTATTCCAAGTAAGTTAGGGAATTTTGTTGTAGCTAAGAATAAGTTTTCCTAAGAGAAACTCTATCCAGCCAGGCTGAATAGAAGTTTTCCTAAAGGAAACTCTATCCAGCCAGGCTGAATAGAAGTTTTCCTAAAGGAAACTCTATCCAGCCAGGCTGAATAGAAGTTTTCCTAAAGGAAACTCTATCCAGCCAGGCTGAATAGAAGTTTTCCTAAAGGAAACTCTATCCAGCCAGGCTGAATAGAAGTTTTCCTAAAGGAAACTCTATCCAGCCAGGCTGAATAGAAGTTTTCCTAAAGGAAACTCTATCCAGCCAGGCTGAATAGAAGTTTTCCTAAAGGAAACTCTATCCAGCCAGGCTGAATAGAAGTTTTCCTAAAGGAAACTCTATCCAGCCAGGCTGAATAGAAGTTTTCCTAAAGGAAACTCTATCCAGCCAGGCTGAATAGAAGTTTTCCTAAAGGAAACTCTATCCAGCCAGGCTGAATAGAAGTTTTCCTAAAGGAAACTCTATCCAGCCAGGCTGAATAGAAGTTTTCCTAAAGGAAACTCTATCCAGCCAGGCTGAATAGAAGTTTTCCTAAAGGAAACTCTATCCAGCCAGGCTGAATAGAAGTTTTCCTAAAGGAAACTCTATCCAGCCAGGCTGAATAGAAGTTTTCCTAAAGGAAACTCTATCCAGCCAGGCTGAATAGAAGTTTTCCTAAGGAAACTCTATCCAGCCAGGCTTAATAGAAGTTTTCCTAAAGGAAACTCTATCCAGCCAGGCTGAATAGAAGTTTTCCTAAAGGAAACTCTATCCAGCCAGGCTGAATAGAAGTTTTCCTAAAGGAAACTCTATCCAGCCAGGCTGAATAGAAGTTTTCCTAAGGAAACTCTATCCAGCCAGGCTGAATAGAAGTTTTCCTAAAGGAAACTCTATCCAGCCAGGCTGAATAGAAGTTTTCCTAAAGGAAACTCTATCCAGCCAGGCTGAATAGAAGTTTTCCTAAAGGAAACTCTATCCAGCCAGGCTGAATAGAAGTTTTCCTAAAGGAAACTCTATCCAGCCAGGCTGAATAGAAGTTTTCCTAAAGGAAACTCTATCCAGCCAGGCTGAATAGAAGTTTTCCTAAAGGAAACTCTATCCAGCCAGGCTGAATAGAAGTTTTCCTAAAGGAAACTCTATCCAGCCAGGCTGAATAGAAGTTTTCCTAAAGGAAACTCTATCCAGCCAGGCTGAATAGAAGTTTTCCTAAAGGAAACTCTATCCAGCCAGGCTGAATAGAAGTTTTCCTAAAGGAAACTCTATCCAGCCAGGCTGAATAGAAGTTTTCCTAAAGGAAACTCTATCCAGCCAGGCTGAATAGAAGTTTTCCTAAAGGAAACTCTATCCAGCCAGGCTGAATAGAAGTTTTCCTAAAGGAAACTCTATCCAGCCAGGCTGAATAGAAGTTTTCCTAAAGGAAACTCTATCCAGCCAGGCTGAATAGAAGTTTTCCTAAAGGAAACTCTATCCAGCCAGGCTGAATAGAAGTTTTCCTAAAGGAAACTCTATCCAGCCAGGCTGAATAGAAGTTTTCCTAAAGGAAACTCTATCCAGCCAGGCTGAATAGAAGTTTTCCTAAAGGAAACTCTATCCAGCCAGGCTTAATAGAAGTTTTCCTAAAGGAAACTCTATCCAGCCAGGCTGAATAGAAGTTTTCCTAAAGGAAACTCTATCCATCCAGGCTGAATAGAAGTTTTCCTAAAGGAAACTCTATCCAGCCAGGCTTAATAGAAGTTTTCCTAAAGGAAACTCTATCCAGCCAGGCTGAATAGAAGTTTTCCTAAAGGAAACTCTATCCAGCCAGGCTGAATAGAAGTTTTCCTAAAGGAAACTCTATCCAGCCAGGCTGAATAGAAGTTTTCCTGAAGGAAGCTCTATCCAGCCAGGCTGAATAGAAGTTCTCCTAAAGGAAATTGTATTCGGCTAGGCTGAATAGAAGTTCTCCTAAAGGAAACTCTATTCGGCCAGGCTGAATAGAAGTTCTCCTAAAGGAACTCTATCCAGCCAGGCTGAATAGAAGTTTTCCTAAAGGAAACTCTATCCAGCCAGGCTGAATAGGAGTTTTCCTAAAGGAAACTCTATCCACGCAGGCTGAATAGAAGTTTTCCTAAAGGAAATCCTATTCTGCCTGCGGCTTTGTGTCTTCTCTTACAAATCCGACTAAAGCCCTATTTAATCTCCCAATTCTCTATTCTTCCTTTGCAGAACTCTACAAAGACCACCCATGAAATTACCCCCACAAATGAAGGCTATACCACCACCACGAGTTGGTACACCCAATTCGCCACCACCTCCGCCAGAGAACACGGACAACAATGGTGGCAATATGCCCAAACCCTATAGCCATCAGAATGGTGGTAATACCCTGAACATGGGTGGTGGCGTCATTGATACATCCAGTGGCGCCTCAACAAATACCACCAATACTAATACCACGACAAATGTGTCCGATACTAATCGTCAAATGAACAACGATGCATCACTGCCACCACCGCCGCCTCTGGACACACCAGAGGATAGTGGACCCAAGACGAACAATATAATGCATCACAATAACAACAGCACAAACAAGAATAATCCAGCACAACATATGAACGATGAAGATGATTTACCCCCGCCTCCGCCACCACCTGCAATGAATGATGATTCGAATTATGCCGTAACGGAACTTTAAGCAGAGTGAACGAATCAAAAGAAATGTTATGTCAATCATGCAATGGGTGATCGTTGAATGTAGAGGGCGCTCTTGATGTTGACAGCCGAAAGAGAAAGAGAGGGAGAGAGAGAGAAAGGAACCCATTCCCCTAGGAAACCAAAAAAAGCAAAGAAACAAAAACAGAAAGTTGTGGTAACATTTTTTGTAGTTTATAGATAATGAAATAAGAAAAACCCAAGGATTTTTTGTAGCAATAATATAAAAGAGAAGAGGAATCTACCCATAAATAAATACAGACACACACACAAACTCTCAACACAATATCAGTTATCCTGTGGAAATAGTTATTCCATTGAACTATAGGCGAAGAAAAGAGAAATGTGACTCGTTAAGAGTTGCTCTCTGCTTCTAGTTCTACATCAACAAACACGCACACACACACACAATGCCACTATTTGACGGGCTGGGGACCTAAACAATCATCTTCATCTCAACCTTCATTTGCATAGCCATGATCTTATGATGAGCGTTCTTTTTCTTTGCAAAAGTAAAAGATCCAAAAGACTATATATCTACAACATTTTCACATATCAATGTTAAGGTTTTAGCCACTTTAATCTTCTAGTCAGTGGAATCGGAGTTGGAAGACTAATTGTTGCAAATTTGTTCTTCCATAAGCCTGAGCCTTACTCCGGAGAGCATTGGCCAGTGTCAGAGAAAATGTAGGACATTTTCAGGCTCCTCCTCTTTCTGATAGAGCCTGCCGCAGTCGGTGAGATCGCCATCTTGCAGTGAACTGATAGAGCCTGCCGTAGTCGGTGAGATCGCCATCTTGCAGTTAACTGTAATATCTTTAAGGGAATTTGTTCTCTTCCAAGAAAGTGTTGGCCAAATTGTCTTCAAGATATTGCATCCCTTCTCATTTAGCCAGGACTTTCCCGGAATAATGTTTCTATATCATTCTAAAGATGTAGGGCCCCACTATCCTCACCGAGTAATTTACATATCGACTGACTCGGATCTGCAGCTTGTTATTAGATTCGCTGTATCATTACCCTATATGTTGCGATGGCCAGGAATCCAACACAGGAACAGGAATCAAGGACTTAAGGGCTAAGTACATAAGAAGCTTGAAGTCATGGCTAGGCATATTAATGTCAAATTATAATGGATCGAGGGCTGGATTTTAGTGCGGCTCTGTAATCCCTTTGTGAATTGTCACAAAATATGCCTAGCCATGACTTCAAGCTTCTTATGTACTTAGCCCTTTAAACATATCCTGTGCTCTACGCTTCAAAACTGTCAGATATTTGATGGTGCGCGATTTGAGTGCTTTCAAGTCAGCCAGACCATCGATGTCAGATTTGATGGTGCGTGATTTGAGTGTTTTCAGGTCCGCCTGATTATCGACGTATCGACGTATAGATACCGTTATAGTGAAGTTTATTTTTTCCGTCTGGAAAACAATGAAGTCGTTGGTTGAAGGAGTTACAAATATTTAGGCTATCGTAAAGGAGGGTCTGTTTTTATACCCTACACCAGGGTAGGGTATTATGTCTTTGGGCATTTGTTTGTAACATGGAGAAGAAAGCGAGATAGGCCCATAGCTACTTTTGAAGATTTTCATAGAATCATTTTCTGAGTCGATTAATAGATATCTGTCCGCCTGTTCGTCCGTTCATCTTTCAATGTATTTTAGTGAACAAAATGCAAATCGCATTTATTATCCGATTTAGATGACATTTTCCAAGAACAAGCCCCATTGAAATTGGTGAGAATCGGTTCAAATTTAGATATAGCTCCCATACATATCTTCAACCGATTTCGGGTTAATTGTGCACCAAATACCCAATATCAGTCCAAATGACCTGAATTTTTGCACACCCGATCGAATTCCGTCTAGAAGCAAGTATATCAAATTTGGAGAAAATCAGTTCAGATAAAACTATAGCTCCCATATATATGTTTGGGGTTTTAAGTCCCTCACAGGCGTAATATGCACTCCACAACAATGATCTTTGGTACCAGATATCAGATACAGCTCAGAAATAAGTACCTGAAATTTAGTCAAGATTGGTTCAGATTTGGATATAGCTTTCATATATATATTCAACCGATTTCGGGTTAATTGTGCCCCATATGGCCAATATTAGTCCAAATGACTTGAATGTTGGCACATCCGATCGAATTCAGTACGTCAAATTTGGAGAAAATCGTACCAGATAACTTATGGAGCTCAATTTTGTACCAGATAACTTATGGAGCTCAAAAATACCTTTTTTTCAAATTTTATCGAGATCGGATCATATTTGGATATAGCTCCCATATATATTTCTTTATCCTATATCAGGTTTAAAGCACACGAAATTAATATTATTAGTCCAAATGACCTATATTTTGTCAGTTCCGACTGAATTCATCCTAGAAACAACATCGGTTCAGAAATAGCTATAGCTATATATTTATCCGATCAGTCCAAATGGACTGAATTTTGGCACTTCCGACGGAATTTAGCCCATAAGCAAGTGTTTTACATTTTTTGTGAAAATCGGTTCAGTTAGTACTTGTTCATGTTTGAACCGACTAGAAGTGGACTGCTATAAATCCAGATGTCCCTGTTCAGTACGTAAGAGCTTTTAACATATTTCACACATCCTCCCTCTACGAATTGAGTATTTTTCACAAGTTTTTTTTGCAACTGCTTTCAGGCAAACTTTCTAATACTACAATCCGGTTCTTTATTGAAATTTCTTACGTTAGAAATTGTATTTTTATGATTTCTTACGAAAGTCGTTATATTTGAAATAGATATTTCTATATAAATTCATGGCATTTTCAAATGGCTTATAAATAATCCTTATGATTCCTTAAATGTCTTCAAAAATTCTTACATTGATATGTGAAAAAGAGTCTGTAGAATCATCCTTCTCATGTACATTAGTAAAAAACAAAAACACCCGAACAATACAAAACTAATTAAATTAATTTATCACAATTTGAGACATTTACCAGTTACAGGCTGATAAAATTTTTTTTTCAAAATCAGCAGCAGATTATCATCATCTGATCGAATCATTGATCGGACCTATTTGTAATATGTTTGTAGATAATATTTATTTATAATAATTATTGAAAAAAAAAATATCCTTGGTCATACAAGGACGTGTACAAATCATAAATTTAACAAAAATTATTAAAACAAATATCGAAACAAAACAAGAAACATTACATTACAATGCATACATTAACAGCATACACGCATACATACAAACATACATAAATATTTTTTTAGATGGATCCCAACCCAAGAAAAAAGGAAAAGCTTTCCTCTTTTTTATGATACAAACAATATTGAAAAATGTGGGGAATTGCGAGTTAATTAATGGGTTAGATTAAAAATTGCCATTTAGAAACAACAATTTAGTTATAGCTCTTTAATATTTTGACTCAAGCGAGAATTGAGTAAATCACAGTGGTACGAACTTCATAAAAATACATATTTCGAACTATTTTGATAAATGTCATTTGAAATAACCCAAAAATTTGATGACATTTTTATTGAATGGCGTCACATTGTTCGTGTGAAAACAAAATGTTTAAAAAAAAAGGAAGATAAAATATGCCCTTAAGGCTAAGATTGGAATCTTTAAAGATGCAGCATATTTATTTGCTGTAGCAGACGATTTAGAGAGGGCAAAATATAAATAATATAATTTATGATCAACATCAGGTGATTGAATTTACTTTTCTCGCTGATAACCACATTTTGAATATTAGACTCGAAGGAGAACAGAAAGCAGAATGTGGTGATCAGCGAGAAAAGTAAAGTCAATTCAATGATCACAAATAATGGTTGAAATATCGGAAAAAAAATTACCTGACCTCACCTGACATCGAGCCAATATCGATATTTAGTATTTTAGCTATTTTGACTTGATTTTTAAAAATGCATGAATTGAATTGATAATAATTGTACAATAATGCAATTTTCATTTGAGGTAGTGTCCATTTTAAACTCCAAACACCAAATGTCATTTAAATCCGGTGAAAAATGTGACACAAATCAAATTATTCATAAGAATTAATAGTCTTGGGCGGTACAACACAATGCCGGTAAAAATATGGTTAAAATCATTAAAATACCGAATATTGGGAGGTACCGTTGTATTAGGGCTATACGAAGACGTGGACCCGCTATAGCCTTGTCATAGGCTGTAGTATTCATTACGAACTTTAAATACAAAATTTTAAGAATTCCAGCGAGTAATGTCGCTAAAATCATTAAAATACTGAATATAGGGAGGTGGGCTGTAGCATCCATAGGCTGTAGCATCCATTAAGAACTCTAAATACGACATCTGAAAGAATTTCGGTGAGTATTGTACCTAAAATCGTCAAAATACCGGATATAGGGAGGTACTGATATATGGGGCCTATACGAAGATCTACATACATACCCATGCATAGACAATTTTCTTTAACACACTCTAGTTCCCATAACGAACTCTAAAAACGTCATTTGAAACTATTCCAGTGAATAATGAGGCTAAAATCATCAAAATACCGAATATTGGGAGGTGCCGTTATATGGTGGCTATATGGAGAAGGGGACCTGCACAGACAATTTTCTGTCATAGGCTGTAGTATCCAGTACGAACTTCAAATACCAAATTTGAAACAATTCTGGTGAATAATGTCGCTAAAATCATGAAAATACCGAATATCGGGAGGTACCGTTATATGGAGGCTATATGAAAACGTGGACCTGATATGACCCTACTGGCAAAATAAACATGTGTACAACATTTTTGCCACCTGTCTCAATTTGTTCGAATGATAGCGTGATTACAACAGACAGAGAGACACACAGACAGACAGACGGACATCGCTAAATCGTCTTAGAATTTTACGCTGATCAAGAATATATATACTTTGTTGGGTCTGATATGAGTATTTCGAGGAGTTACAAACGGAATGACAAAGTTAATATACCCTCCATAGTATTGTGGAGGGTATAAAAAAACAATTTTCCTGATTTTGAAGCCGCCCTACAGGTCACAATTGAAAACCAAATGAAACGGAATTTTGCATGAGGAGAGAGTTTGGAACAAGACAGGGGTCTAGCATTTTGGATTATCATGAGATTATATTTAGCGTGTCAAATGGACCACAATTTTCGTGTGAAATTATCTTATCAGCACGACAAAAAGCGTAAATATGGGACAAGGCCAAATGTAACATTTGTGCAGGATTGTACAGCATTATTTTATTTGCTTATTTGTTTATAAATGTCCTGTATTTTGAAGAGTTTTGTTGATTTTTTCTACCCTCTATCATAGATAAAGAACCGAATAAGGGCGTGCCCAAGATTATCGTCCACTTTGCATTTATGCTTTTATGCCTATTTCCATTTAATACACAACCTTAATCCATATATTATTTTTTTTAAATATACAACCCTGGAGTTTCTATAAAAAATGCGGATATTTTTTGTATTTGCATCTCTAATGGTGTCACTGCAAAATAAAACGGAAGCCCGATCAAATGGAGACGGTAGTTAACTAGACAATTCCAAAAAAAATTGCGCTCGACAAAGCCTCCCTTTGTTGTTTCTCTCCCTCTCGCACTGTCTTTGTTGCACTCAGTACAATATAAAGAGGATACCTACTCTTCTTTTGAAAAGTAATGGAGCAAAAAACCACATTAACTCTCCCGTGAGAGTGTTCTAATGGATACACACAATTATAAAAGCACATAAAAATTAAAAAACAAAAGCGAAACTCCTTGTTAAAGTTATTAACAATTTAACTTAAATTAACTGCATTCCAATAATGTTAATGTTTAAAATTTATTGTTTTATTTGCAATAAACATATTAAACCGCCTAATAGCAGTGCAGTTCTTAATTTAACACACTGAAATTGAGAATTATATAACCACCATAACCACGCACGAAGTATGCAACAACCGATTTAAATAAGAACACAAAATAAACTGAAGAAATGCAATGATCAGAGTTGTCGTGCTAATTTAATTTGAAGAAGATTTTTAGTAAAAGTTTTAACGAACCTGCTCCTTTACTCTTTTTCGATGTTAAAGCGACAGTGAAT